TAATAGGGGTCAAAGTCATCTGACAGGCCCCCGACGATGCAGTCTCGTCCTGTGGCCTGAAACCCGCGAGCAGCTGCAGCATGTCCAAATAATCCGCACGCGACATGATCTCATAGCAATAGGCAGTGAAACGGCCATGCCATCAACGGGCAGGCCATATAAAACCTCCACGTCCTGCAGCGTGATGGTGGCCTCGCCAATGGGCAGGTAGAAAGTGTGTGTCTCCGGTCGCCACCGCTCAATCAACGCCGTGATCAAAGACCAGTCGAGCTGCATCCGCCCGATCTGAATAATCCTATAGAATCCCGTATCCTGCAGGCGCTCGACTACACGGGGATGGAGATCTCTATCCCTCAAAAAATCCCACAGGTCGTCCACTCTCCCAACGCGGAGAGTCTGGGACAGTAACTCTCCGTCCCATATATGGGCGGACCTATGATCGTCCTGTAGCACTAATAGCTCACGAGAGTAAGGGCCGGGATGTGTAGGTACAAAGTATATATACCTATGGGTTCCAGGCTCGATATTTGAGGCCCAGTAGCACCAAACTATCATGAATAATTATGTGTGTCAAATTCAATATTTTTATAATTTTGTGTGTTTGTTTTATAATTTAAATTCTTAATTATTTAATTGTACAAAGTATATATACCTATGGGTTTCAGGCTCGATATTTGAGGCCTAGTAGCATCAAACTATCATGAATAATTATGTGTGTGAAATTCAATATTTTTATAATTTTGTGTGTTTGTTTTATAATTTAAATTTTTAATTTTTAATTATTTAATTGTACAAAGTATATATACCTATGGGTTCCGGGCTCGATATTTGAGGCCCAGTAGTAGCACCAAACTATCATGAATAATTATGTGTGTCAAATTCAATATTTTTATAATTTTGTGTATTTGTTTTATAATTTAAATTCTTAATTTTTAATTATTTAATTGTACAAAGTTTGTATTTTTATCTACCAGTATAAGAGATACTTAAACTACAGGGATTCTACGCTAAAATACTCTACACTTTGCTACGCTAAAAGGTTCTACATTTTACTACGCTAATAAATAATCTAAACTAAATATAAATAATAAATACATTTTAATCACATAACATTCACAAAAATACATATAACATACTAGTTTCGTAAATAAAACACAAAACGACATGGAAACACTAATATCTAAATCCGGATATTAACAGAAAAATTATTTCTCAATTTTACATTTTTTTTAGAACACTAATATCAAAGTCCGGATAAATATAACATACTAGTTTCGCAAATAAAACACAAAACGACATGGAAACACATTCAAATCAACTAATATGCATTATTATACAAGTTTCGACATAAAATAAATCGAAATACCTCGATTTAGTATTTTCGAAAAGTAAATTGGCTGAAAATTTGAGTCCGAAAGAGTGAAACCATAATAATACGATGCTCTACTACGATGTGGGACCTGCGTTCTTAGCGTTTTGTGTGACGGGAGGGGCCTACAATTTTGTTTTTTAGGAACGACAAGGGGTGGGTGGGTGGTTGGGGGGGGGGGGGTACCAGATAAATCGAAAGAAGTAAAAAAATGGGGGAGGAGGAGTTTTGGTGGGGGAGGACGAAGGGGACTATTTAATCAGGGGTATAGCGTGCTATTTCTTTACGCTATAGGTATAGCGTATGATTTCTATGCGCTAAACCTGACAGTCAAATCGTCAGGGGGTATATCGCACTTATTCCTTGCGCTATACCTTAACGGCAAAAGTTACCGTTAAGGTATAGCGCGGCGAATTTCGGCGTTATATATAGAAAAGTAACTTTTTTTTTACACTCATTAACGTCACATTTGTCCAAAAAGATAATAAAAAGGTTCCGGACTCATATATTAAGCTAATTACTTTATTTGATATTGTAAATAGTTACTCTATAATACTATTATCAGTACGAGAAGCCAAGAACGTAAACTCATTATTATAGTATTACTCTATAATACTATTAGCAGCTCCTATAAATGACAGTAAAACGCCGACTATAAAGTACATAATTAAGCAGATGAATTGGTACTGGTTTTCAAAGAGAATCAAGCAAAGCGTTTGAAAGTCTTGGGAGAATTCAGAGAAGTTTGGTCAAAAGTTTGATGGAGACTTTTCAAGCAGCATGAAATAATTAATTGAAGTGACTATTTTTGGAGTATATATTTTATTGCTACTTTCCAATATCCAGTACGGACATTTATACTATTTTTAGTTGGGTGGGGTTAAAATTTTGTTATTGGTCTGCAGGGTTGTCTAGTGGATCATCAATTTTGGCTCACATGCATGCACACTCTCCAGAGGTTAATTACACAAACCTCCCCTTTAAATTTTTATTTTGTCCAATTTCCTCTTTGGCTCTTTCCATGTAACATTTGGACTAGATTGAGAAAAAGTTTTAAATCACTTTGGTTTTGATAGGGTTCAAAATACCCATAAACTATTGTAAAAAGCCCCTAAGCTTAAAAAAAATATTTTGCAACCCTAAGCTTAAAAAAATATATTTTGCAAAATATTTTCGTTTTTTTAAACTAATGCCCACTAGTTCACTAATTTAGTAAAGTCCTTTTTTTTTCAGTTTTACAAAAAACAATTCAGTTTTTACAAAAAAAATATTTTTTCAGCTTTTTTAAAGCATTTTTTGTTAAAATTGGAAAAAATTGTAAAAACAGAAAAAAAATATTCTTAATAAAATATTTTCATTTTTTTAAAAACTGAAAAAATATTTTCATAAAATATTTTCGTTTTTGAAAAATATATTTTTTTTTCGTTTCTTTTTCAGTTTTTTAAAAACATTTCCTTTTATTTTCGTTTTTCAGTTTTTTTTAAAGGAAATTTTTTTTTTCGTTTTTTTAAACTAATGCCCAATAGTCCACTAATTTAGTAAAGTCCTTTTTTTTTCAGTTTTACAAAAAACAATTCAGTTTTTACAAAAAAATATTTTTTCCAGCATTTTTGTTGTAAAAATTGGAAAAAAATTGTAAAAATAGAAAAAAAATATTTTTCATAAAATATTTTCGTTTTCTTAAAAACTGAAAAAAAAATTTCAACAAAATATTGAATATAAAAAAATAATTTCATTAAATATTGAATATAAAAAAATAATTAGCTTCTTCGTCCTCTCGGCGCACGTTAGATGCGATAACCTGCGGCACCGCCGGAAATGGGAGGAAGAGGGAGACCCGAGAAAAATCAAAGCAAAGCACCAGTCATTGAGCGAGGAAACAAAGAAATTATCACTAGGGAACAAGGAAAACAACATGCAAAAGGAAAAATGCAGGAGGAAGAGCTGGATCTGGAGAGTGATAGTGAGCTGAATTGGCCAGATTTGAGCTGCAATAGAGTCAAATCAGTTGTTCCAATGAGTCCAGTCAATCGAGGGATACCTAAAATGAACATATCGCCGGTCGTAATTGGGGGAGCAAGCACAAGCAAAGTAACTCCCAATGTAACAGTAACTACAAGCATTTCAAAGGAGCAGAGCAATGTAACAGTACCAGTAGGAATCGAGCTAGAGAAGCACAAACAAGTGATGAAACCAAACAGTATTGGAAGATCATGGGCAGGACTACTTCAAGATAATAAAATTGCTACAAAAGGGATGGATCTAACATACATACCACCGGTGATGCAAGAGGGAGAAGTAGTAGTGCAAATTCTGGAAGAAGACATTGTGGAGGAAAATCAAAAATGGAATCGAGCAATAATTCTGTATGTAGTTGGTAATACTCCAACTATTGGAACTATTGAACGTTTGTTGCAGGGTAGTGGAGAAAAATCAGGAAGCCAAAGGTATTATTCCACAACGATGGCTACTTTATAATTTTGATGCATAGCTATGAGGAAAGGGATAAGGTGTTGATAAATGGGCCATATACTATGAATAGTAGACCAGTAATACTAATACCATGGACTGAGGGATGTGATTTTAATAAAGAGGTGCTGAAAACTATTCCTCTTTGGGTTAATTCCCAAAACTTCCACTGAATTATTGGAGCAACTTAGCTCTTAGCAAGATTGGGAGTGGACTAGGGAAACCTCTATATGTTGATGCATCTACAACCGTGGCTGATAGGATCTCATATTCTCGGGTACTAATAGAAATGGACATAACAAGGCCTTTGCCAGGATCAATTAAACTGGTTGATCCCAAAGGAAAAGTGATACAACTGGTGGTTCAGTATGACTGGAAGCCCCAATACTGTCAAACATGTTGTCAAATTGGTCATTCATGTTATAACCAGCAAATGCAGAAACAGGAGGAGGGACAACAAAAGTATAGAATACAGAACCAGAACCAGGAATGTAGAGCTGTAAGGAAACTTGATCCAAAGACTGACAAAATAGATTCATGTGGGAGATTTCTGGACCAAGTGGAAGAAGATAATGAAGAGACACAGAACAAACAACCAAATGAAGAGCAATGGCAATTGGCTAGAGGAATATGGAAGGAAGAAATGAGAATGGAGTTAACATAGGTAATGCTTTTAAAGCTTTGGTTGACACAACACAGAAAATAGTTCAAATGACAGAAAATCAAAATCAAGGTAGAGAACTGCCTAGATATAGAGGCAGAGGTGATAATCTGAACTCAATATCCATAGAATGTTGAACATCATAGCGTGAAATGTTAGAGGCCTGAATAAAGGGTACAAGCAAAAAGAACTAAAATTTTTTATTAGAGACAATAAGGTAGTGATAATGGCTGTGTTAGAAAATAGAGTTAAAGAAGCAAAAGCTGAGTCTGTAATAAAGAAAGTTTTTATCAATTGAAGATGGATAGCAAACTATAACACTGCTCCAGGTGGAAGAATATGGGCGGCATGGGACCAGACAAAGGTGAATTTTGAGGTTTATGACATACATAAGCAGTACATAATAGGGCGGTTAGAGCATTTCAGAATGGCATCAAGTTTAATTTTGGAGCTATTTATGGGATGCATAATATTCAAGATAGAAAGGTACTATGGGATGATATGAAAACAATAATAGATGACATCACTGGACCATGTGTATTAACGGGAGATTATAACACTATTTTAACTAGTAAGGATAGGATACATGGGAATCCAGTCCAGGAGTTTGAGGTGAAAGAATTTAAAGATTTCATTTGGGAGGTAGGGCTAACTGAGTTGAGAACAGTGGGTAGGAAATATACCTGGACAAACAATCATGTACATAACAAGATAGATAGGATACTTGTCAATGTTGAATGGATCCAGAAATGGCCTACAATGGAGGGGACTGTGTTAAAGCCTGGGTTCTCAGATCATTGTCCTTTGAGCATAACAATCGAGGCTGATCAACAAAAGGGAACTAGACCTTTCAAGTTTTTTAACTGCCTGACCCAACATAAAGAATTTGAGGATACTATGAACAAAAGCTGGACAAAAAGGAGTGAAGGAACTGCAATGTATAAGGTGTGGAAGAAACTAAAGATGCTAAAGATCAAATTGAAGCAGCTGAATAGCCAAGATTTCAATAGCACTGGACAAAGAATTCAAACAACAAAAGTCAAGCTGGAAGGTATTCAGGATCAAATGTTTGGACCTGGGATTGACATTGACATAGTAGCTCAAGAAAAAGAGGCAAAAATGGAGTTGGCTAAATGGCTTGAGATTAAGGAGAGTATAATGAAGCAGAAATCAAGGGTTAAATGGCTCAAGCTGGGAGATTCAAATACAGCTTATTTTCATGCCTATGTCAAGAATAGACAAGCAACAAATTATATTGGACGATTGATTAATAGCACTGGACAAATACTCATGAAAGCTAATGAAGTGGAGACAGAAATATTGAAGTTTTACAAGCAGTTACTTGGAACATCAGCAACACAGCTACCAGCAGTCAACACAGAAGTAATGCAGCAAGGGTATGATCTAAGTAGACAACAACAATTGCAGTTAATAAGACCTGTAACTGGAGATGAAATAAAGCAAGCATTCCAAGGTATTGATGATAACAAAGCACCAGGGTGTGATGGATATAATGAATTCTTTTTTAAGAAAGCATGGTATATAATAAGGTAAGAGGTAACTGAAGCAGTGATGGAGTTCTTTGATGAAATGTAATGCATAAACCTATCAACTGTACATCCATTACTCTAATCCCTAAAGTAAAGAACCCTAGCAGTATTAAAGAATTCGGACCTATATGTTGCTGTACAGTATTCTATAAGATTATCTCAAAGATCCTAACAACAAGACTGCAGGAAGTTATGCTAGACTTGATTGATAGTTGTCAAACAACATTTGTGCCAGGAAGGTTGATCACAAATAATATCATAATGAGTCATGAATTGGTTAAAGGCTATGGGAGGAAGAATACATCACCTAGGTGTATGTTGAAGATTGATATGCAGAAAGCTTATGATTCCGTGGAATGGGTGTATGTTGAGCAAGTGATGAGGTTATTGGGGATTCCAGAAAAATTTGTAAAATGGGTAATGATCTGCATCAGTACAGTCTCTTATTCAATCATTGTAAATGGAAGACCAAGCAAGCCATTTGAAGCAAAGAGAGGACTAAGGCAGGGGGATCCTCTTTCACCATTGTTGTTTGTGATGGCTATGGAGTACCTATGCAGACTAATGAAGCAGCTAGGAAACAGGAAAGAATTCAGATTTCATCCAACGTGTGCAAGAGTCAGATTAATACAATTGGGATTTGCTGATGACCTTCTACTATTCTGTAAGGGAGATGTGCAATCTGTCAAGGCCCTACACAATCAGTTTCTAATATTCTCTATAGCTTCTGGGCTAGTTGCTAACACAAGTAAAAGCAGTGTGTACTTTGGAGGTGTAGACAACAGGACACAACAAGTGATAATGAATCTACTAGGATACACCAAATGTGATCTACCTTTTAGATACCTTGGTGTTCCTTTGAGCACAAAAAGACTGACAGCAGTTCAGTGTGAACCTTTGATAGATAAAATGCTCAACAGAATCCAATGCTGGACAGCCAAGTTTTTATCTTATGCAGGAAGAGCAACTTTGATCAAAAGTGTGCTGGGAACAATACAGAACTTCTGGGCACAAGTCTTTATTCTACCAAAGAAAATCATACAGTTTATTGAGGCAATATGCAGAAGGTTTCTATGGTCGGGCAGTGCTGAACCAACAAAGAAGGCTTTGATTGCCTGAGACAAATTATGTGCTCCTAAGGTAGCAGGGGGATTAAAATTCACAAATATAGAGCTGTGGAATAAAGCTGCTCTTTGCAAACTTCTCTGGAACATTTGCAAAAAGAAAGAGAAACTGTGGGTCCAGTGGGTTCATGCATACTATATAAAAGATAACAACATATGGCATACTGAACCAAAGAATGCTTCATGGGTTATTCAGAAGATTTTCAAGGCCAGGGAACAATTTCAAGAGGCTAGACACTCAGAAGCTGATGTGAGCGACATGGAAAGATTCTCTACCAGGAAGATATACAAAGAACTACAAGGGGAATACCAAAAGTTGACATGAAGAAGAATTGTATGCAACAACGAGGGATTACCAAAATGGATCTTTATACTAAGGCTGGCTATACTAGACAGATTAGCCACTAAAGTGAGGCTAGCAAGATGGGGATTAGTAGATGAAACAATATGTACAATGTGTCACAGGAAGAATGAAACAGTGCAGCATCTGTTTTTCGAATGTGAATTGTCAAATGAGATATGGTAGAAGCTACTATCATGGCAAGGGATCATGAGAAGGAAGAAAGAATGGCAGGAAGAAATTTAGTGGACAGAGAAGAAGGCAGCATGAAAGAGTGCAGGAGCTGAAGTGTTTAGAATGGTATTAGCTGCAGCAGTCTACCATATATGGCAAGCTAGGAACAATGTTATTTTTCAGAAGAAGCAAGCCAGTGCACAGAATATAGTGAAAATGATCATACAGGAGATACATATTAGAGCTCAATATAGTACAAAACTAGATACCTATTTAAGAAGTATGAATTGGTATCCAGAATGAGCTACATTAGAGATGTAATAGGAGATTAAGATGCAAAGAAGAAACCTCATGCTGGGGCTTCATGTCCACCAGAAGCATGTTAAGAGATGGTTTTTTGTAAGCTGTAAATAATTACTTGGTAAATAAAAATTTTTACTTACCAAAGAAAAAAAAATTGTTCCTAGTAGGCCAGATTATTGGAGTGGGTCAATAAAATTGTTATAATGAGTGGACTTCTATTTCTTAAACATTGGCTTCAAAAAATTATCACATCAGTTAAAGCCATTGAGAATATCATTTGAATGTGTAGAGTTACTTTTCTTGTTACAAAATAAAAAAGTGTGACTTTCTTGCTCAATTTTAATTAGTTGAGTGACTTATCTGTAAAACAAGGAAAAATGACTTTCTAACACAATTTTTTAATAGTTGAGCAATTGTATGAGAAATTTACTCCAATTAAATAAGAAAATAAATTGGATAGGTTGGTCTATAATTCGTTATAGGCTCAACCATTTTAAGATGTTCTAACTTAACAAAATTATTCGTCCATTTAACATTCTAGTTTGTCTTTAAATTGTTCAGCTTGCAAATAAAACACCGTATAGATGCGGATTTAGGGGCGGAAGGTTGTTTATCCGAACTCCCTTTTCTGAAAAATTATATTGTGTATATAGGATTAAATTTCATTTTTATTGATATATATCAAATGTTGCATCCCCTTGATACAAGTCTAAATCATAGTTTAGTGGTCAAATGGGTTCAAAATTTTTGTAAGATCCCAAGATCGATCATTACGCAGCATACCCTATTGTTTGCCTTCAACTTCTTTGTCTTATTTAATTATTAAAATAGTTATTTTTGCAATTATCTCTTGCTCATTTTTTGTTTATTATTTATTATACATGATTTTTTTCTCTTTTCGTCCTTTTAATGCCCCCTTTTTTTTTTTGTGTAAAAACTATTACTTCAAAACAAACTAATGTATTAGTTTTAGGGAAACTTACACAAATGTCACAAATAAGTGTCAACTTACCAACCTCCAGCCATTAGTCATAGACTTACCAAAACTAGCCAAGCACATATAAAAATTGAAAAATCAAATAAATAAGGTTCTACCTCTCAAAGAATCACATGCAAAAATCTCCTTCCATATTTTTAACCATGATTATCAACATTAGATGCAAGACGGAAAGAAAATTTCATGATGAGGTAGCAAATAAGGTGACGAAAATACCAAAAAAAAAAAAATAATATTCCAAAAATCTATGCAATAAAGGAACTTTTTCAATGGATATAGTTGAAATTCATTTAATTGTACCAGTAAACATGGATGGGACTATTCGAGAAACAAAGTTCCATGTGATCGAAGGCGACATGAGGTACAACGCACTACTCGGAAGGCCTTGGGTTCATGATATGAGAGCAGTGCCCTCGACGCTTCACCAAGTCTTGAAATTCCCAACATTAGAAGGAATCAGAATAGTGTACGGTGAACAACCCGCCACCAAGGAAATGTTTGCAATCGATGAGGTAACACCAGTATCAGCGTTGTCATCAACAAAGGGATCAGAATCGAAGGGAAAACAGGAAGTCAAATAGCAACCACAGTCGTCGGCCTCGGCCCGATCGAAAGAGCGAGGAACTTTCGAGGATGATGATTATATGATACCTCAAACCTTCATAATCCCCGATGATTCCAATACAATGACGTCAACGGTCGAAGAGCTGGAACAAATCATACTGATCGAGCATCTACCCGATAAAAAGGTATACCTGGGCACGGGGTTAACTCCCGAGCTCACGAAAAAACTCGTTCAATTCGTTTTAAATAACATGGATTGTTTGCTTGGTCCCATCGAGATATGACAGGGATCCCACTGGAGTTGCTACGCATCGACTGAGCTTGGACCCAAAGTTCCACCCGGTGAAACAAAAGAGAAGACCTCAGTCCGAGGTAAAACATACATTCATTAAGGACGAGGTAACAAAACTTCTCAATATAGGATCTATTCGGGAGGTAAAATATCCCGAATGGTTAGCAAACGTAGTTGTAGTCCCTAAAAAGGGAAACAAACTTAGAATGTGCGTAGACTACAAGGATATAAACAAGGCATGCCCTAAAGATTCCTTTCCTTTGCCGAATATCGATCGCATGATCGATGCCACGATCGGCCACGAGATCCTTAGTTTTCTCGATGCCTACTTCGGGTATAATCAAAAGATGAACCCGGGGGATCAGGAAAAGACTTCGTTCATCACTAAGTACGGCACCTATTGCTATAATGTAATGTCGTTTGGACTAAAAAAAATGCTGGTGCTATTTATCAACGCCTAGTAAATCGAATGTTCGAAGAACAAATAGGTAAATCAATGGAGGTTTATATTGATGATATGCTTGTTAAGTCCCTGCGAGCAAAGGACCATTTGAAATATTTGCAGGAGACCTTCGGCATACTGAGAAAGAATAACATGAAGCTTAACCCAGAGAAATGTGCATTCGGTGTCGGCTCGGGCAAGTTCCTCGGCTTTATGGTATCAAATCGGGGGATCGAAATTAATCCCGATAAAATCAAGGCAGTGCATATAGATAAAATTTGAGGAAGATTGGAGGTGATTTGGACTGTTTTATATTAAAATTCGTAATTAAATCGAGTTCAAAAAATCCTTCTGCGACACATGTATCATTCTTGTATCTCACACACAGCTATACATGTGATAGACAATTGATACAAATATGATACATATGTCATACACAAATGATACACAATGCGATACACATCATTTATTTTTTCATGTTCAGTTTTTACTTCGAATGTTCAATTCAAACCACCTCAAAACTTCACCAAATCATCCCAAAACTGAGATTCAAGCTCCTTAAAATGTACCCAATCTATTCTAATAACACCCACTCAAAAGAAAGCAAAAATTTGACCTTTTTTTGCTACAAATAGCTAATTGGCTTATATTAGTAATATTTGGCTAATATTAGTAATATTTTATGAATTGACAATTTTTTGTAATGAGCTACTTATAAATGGATATAGCTGGTAGTTTCCCTTAGTTTTAATCCAACATATCATTAGCATGAGTTTCGACGATAGTTTAATTGCTATTTAAATTTAACCTTTTTTTTTATGAACCCGTTTGACATTACATTTGGATTCAACAAATTTTGATGAATCCATTTGATGCAATTTTTACTATTCACTTCTTTATAATATTGAACCCCTTGTTCGGAATCCTGGATCCGATGATAAATCGACAAACAGTATTTTGGTCGAATAGAGGAGTATATGCAATTAGCTCTATGATAATTACTCGATGTTTTAGATCTTCCCATATCCAGGTCAATGTTGATATACGAATATTAGCTCTATGATAATTATTTCTTCAATTCATTAAGGATCCTTTTCAAGTAAGAATTCATCATAGATATCTGTTTATTTTGCTTAAGGGTGTACAAAGAAAACCGACAAACTACACTAAATCGATAATTCGAGTCAAATCGAGAAAAAAGTCCGACTATGGGATCTTGGGAAAAAAACCCTAATCATAATTGGTTTAGTTTGGTTTTAACTAAAAAAAGTCAAACCAAAACCAAACCGACATTACATGTATAGAAGTTCTAAATATATTTAATACATAAAAATATTTATTGTAGTGTAGTTTATAAATATTTCTTAAACTTTTTCATTGTTTTATTTTAATCATATTATTTCAGGCTTGGACTTATAATTTTTGAATGCTCGAGTGTTAAAGTCCATAAATATTAGTAACTCAAATAAATCCCTAATTAAATCAAATCAATACTAATGCTAACAAAAGACATTCAATTCAACTGTACTAGGAATGACGATAGTGTTGGATATCTATATTTTACTTTTTTCCACAATATAGAAAAAATGCATAACTTATTTTTTTAGTGTTTAGTCCTGTAAATAATAGTAGTACTTATTAGTTGCACTTATTTTAGCAACTTATTAATTTTAAATTATGGCTTATTAATAATATTTATTTTATGTGATTTTATTATCTTTATTGTTGAATATTTTAGTACAATGCCATGGCTCATCTTATATTTTATGCTATTTTTTTGAAAAGCACCTTATATAGTTCTGTATTACTAGGATTAAAGAAATATTTTGAGCACGAATTCTATTTTTTGTGTTATGAAGACTTTATGAAAAACTCCCACGGATAATCTGGGAAAAATTGCGATTAAAAACCCGACTTTTATTGGTTTAGTTTGGTCTTTAAATTTAATAATCGAATAAAATTAATTTGATTATAATTAAAAAATTCGAATCAATACGCATACGCTATGTACACTCCTAATTTTGCTGCTTCTTCGAAGCTGCATGTATATTTCAAGTTGCTTAGTGCGAAATGTTTTCTTTTTCTAATACTAATTCGCTTCAAACTCTGAAAAAACATTGGGCCGTCAGTATCTTTTCTCGCACTGGGCGGACTACCAAATTGGACCATAACTTCTCATTTATTCACAGAAAAAGTAATGGTATCCAAATAATGAGAATTTAATCTTTCGTTTGTAAATAAATGACATAGAATTTAATCCTTCGTTGGTGAGAATCTATAAGCCAGCGCCCAGCTAGAAGAAACTCCTGACAAGAAAATGAAAAAAAGAAAAAGAGATGTCACGTTATTGAATTTATAGTTATATAAAGAACCAAAACTGCAAAAAAAAATCACGGTTGTCAATAATTAGATTTCCAATTTTAAATGGAATATTATTTTTTCTAAATAATTTCCTGATGACCGAATATTTTTATTTCTTATATTTCCTCTTCCATTTTCTTGAATAATCTGTTAAATTCGTAGTACAAAAGTAAACATTTTCCCTTGAACTTTAATGCTTATCGGGTAAGGCCCAAATATGAGGTGAACCAGGTTTATGACTAGTCAATTCTTTCATGCCACCATCACCAACGTTGCCACCCATGACCCTAAACCCGAACCCTTTGTGGAAGAAGTCAAGATAAAATCCACTTTGGTCAACGGTCAAATATGACTACGACATTGCTATATATAGTAGTTGCCATGCATATACCTAAACTTCCACATTTTAGCACATCCTTAGAAACTAAAGCCATAAAATCGAGAAACGAACACTAGATCAAGATAGCCACGGTGATGGACTCCAACGAAGATCAGAGAGGAAGAAGAGAGAACAAATACCGAGGCATACGACGAAGGCCCTGGGGAAAATATGCAGCGGAGATACGTGACCCTAATCGAAACGGGGCACGCCTTTGGCTAGGCACCTTTGAAACAGCAGAAGAAGCAGCCCGAGCGTATGATCGGGCTGCCTTTTCTCTAAGGGGCCACCAAGCCATCCTCAACTTCCCAAACGATGGACATTATAATCACAATAATAATACCAATGTACCTCTAGATCCTAGACCAAGCTACGCATCATCCATGGAAAACGCGCATATGTCGGCCTCTTCTTCTTTACCATCTTCTTCTTCAGCTACTGGTTCTTCTGATCAACAAGAGAATGTGACATTGGAGGGACATGATCATGAAGAGAAGGTTATTGAATTTGAGTATTTGGATAACAACCTTCTGGATGAGCTTCTTGGCTCACAAGTTCATCGCCAGGCTAATAAGCGGCCCAAGTATTTCTAGGTTGCTTTTTAGAAAAGCTTGAAATGTTTAGCTCCTTTATGGACTTGTTAATCTGTTAGTTCTTAGCATGCTATTTCCGATTCCTTTAATTTTTTCTCCTTAATTATATGCCAACTTTGAAGGGAGCCTTGAAGTAACAGTAAGGTTGTTTCTATGACCTATAAGTCACGGGCTCGGGCGGTGGAAACAGTCATTAATATTTGCATTAGAGTATGTTGCCTACATCACACTCTTAAGGTGCGATCCTTCTTCTAACCCTGCGTGAATGCAGGATACTCATAGAACCAGACTATTTTTATTTTTTATTTTTTTATATGCCAACTTTCTTTGTCGTTTTTTGTTCATCCTGATTTATGTTCTTTCTATGTACCCACAAGTAAGAGGATAGCTAATTGATTATGTCTGCTACCTAATTGTACAAATCTTAATGTTTTTGTCATATATAACCCCTAATTAACAACTCCTCTTATTATTATTATTCTGAGCTTCTCATTAAGGAGGTACCGTTCTCTGTGTCCAAATCTAATATCTTTTGGCAACATAATAAGAAAATGATCGTAGATATTAAAGCTCACGTATACTACGTATGAAGACTCAATTAATTAGGGGCAATTTGCTCAAATATATAGCCCAACACAATATATTACACCTACGTAACTACATTTTTCAGTTTACACTCACATAACCAATATTTTCTTTGAAACAATATTTATACAACATTTACATACTGATATAATAGTTAAAACATATATCACTCGCTAATATAAAAGTATATAATAATATATGAAATATATAAACATCGCTAGCTATAGTAACCAACTTCGTTTACAATTTTCAGTTGTAATTGTTGTTCACAAATACATCCGAATGTTAATTCAAAATTTATAGACAATTATTTGCAACAAGTCCAAACAACACTGTTCACGCAAAATTTCTCACAAAAAATAGATTCAAAATTCGAACTCAGTTTCTTTATAAGCTTGTCCAATAGTGATAGGATACCTTTCTAATCTAATTTTATATACCACAATAATCCTACTTCTTCCCAATTTCCACGCCTCTCCCAGGTCCAGAAATTGACCCTTAAAGATTTAACAAAACTGATCATGCCTAATTATGCCGTGTGAGTACGTAATTTTTGCTCTGTGAAAAATACTCCTATAAAATTCACAAAAATAAATTTTTTTAATTGTTTTAATTTTTCATATAACTTTTAGGAATTTCTTGTTAATTGTCGTTTGCATTTAGTGGCATATTTAATATCTTAAAATTATAAGAAAAAAACCAAAAAATGTCCAAAATCTTCGTTACATAGCATTTTAGGTTTTATTTTTTATTTTAAGATTTAATTACGTTTATTAGATGAATTATTTATTGAAAATCACAAATATACCATGGTCATTTTATATTTTTAGTTTTTAGTCTTAAATTATTAATTTCCTTTCATTAATTTTAAATTAATTAATTATTTAAATGTTACAAAATAGATAATTAGGTTTTGCAAATTAGATTTCATTTAGGAATTAATTTAGGTGCTTAATTAATTTGATTAGGATTTAGAACAAAGGAAAAAGAAAGAAAGAAAGAAAGAAAAGGCTTTTGTTTGGTTCCGAATTGGGCCAAAACCATTTTCAGCGGCCCAATTCCCCCTCAAGTCCACACTGCCCAAGCCTAGTCTCCACATCCACCCGGTCCACACTACCCATCACCAAACGACACCGTTTGGTAATGCTCAATCCCGGCCATTGATCTCCTCTCATCCAACGGCCCTAAACTAACACCCACTTTAGATATAAGTGTCCTAAAGAACCCCCCAAACCCTACAGACCCCTCCCATTCTCTCATCTCTCTGACTCTCTTATCCTAGCCGCCTCTCACCACCGAAACCTACCTCCACCGGCGGCTCACCACCCAAATCACTCCAAATTGTCACCCTACACTCCTCAACCTCCCCTCATCATGAATCTCCTAATAGATTTCCCAAAACCCCTACCAAATCCTTCAAATTTTGGATAAAATAAAAATCCAATCTTTTTACCCTTTTTTTGGCAATGAAACCTACATGAATCGACTACTTTTGTTGTGAGGAATTGATTGTTTGTGGTTCCGACCTATCTCGCGGTGGCCGAATTCCAGGCAAATGACCATTGACTGTCAAAATTGCTTTGAATCTCTACTTCTCCTTCTTTTGGCATACGTTGAGGATTGTGACATGGAGCACTAGCCGTCGAAGAAATTCCGGCCGATGCTCATGTTACAATTCCCATCACTGGCCGGAATCTTTGTTCGCCGAAGTTCTATATTCAGACTGGATTGCTTTGAATATATTGGTAATCCTTTACTCCTTTCTTTCATTCTTTAGAGTCACTAACTTTGTGTTTTAGCTTGATTGACAGCATGCTTAGGATAATTAAAAATGTTTTAGTTTTTTGGTTAATTGTTTGATCTAGTGATATTTGAGGTTTAGTCGATTAATTAGCTTGTGGTCTTAATTACGTATTTTCTTAATTGATAGGTCAACTAGATTGCTGAGTGTGATTAACTTGTACTTGATTGCTCAATTTCAATTTAATTAGTTATTTGTTAGTAATTATTGACTCTGTGAGATAAAAGAGGACAATCAATTGGAACTTTGGGTGGGTGGGTGGGGTGGGGGAGGGGGTAAATAAGATGGAAAAATTAGGAAATCTTTCTTTTAGCTAATGAAGCTGGAAGGGGTTTAAAATACAGTGTTTCATAAATGAAAGGGGTTGAAAGAAATGAGAAAATTAGGCTAAGGGACAGCTGTCCACTTTCAGTTATAACAGGTGCCTTTATTTTCTGAAATTCAGCTGACATTCTCTTGATTCCCTCCCCTTTTCCCTCACATAGGACCCCTTCTACATTCTATATAAAAGGAACGATTCTCTCTTCATGAAAGGGGGACTGATTTTTTACACTAGACTCGGCAGAATAGACACTCACCTCATCTTATAGTAATTTCTTTCAAAAAGAAAACACACACATCCTGCATACGCTGAATACACTGAATAAGCAACCTTTTTGGGTACATTTTTCTGGGTCTAGAAGCTACTGAAATTTGAGTTCGTTTGCTGTTGATTACTGTTTAAGTTGCTTCTGTCTGACCAAGCTCTATTTGCTCTCAAATTTGACCTTTACTTGGTCATTTTCTTCTGTCTCCTTGCTGTTAGGTATGTAACACTTCATCTGAGATCTCTATTAAATATGGAATTGAAGTTTTGATTTGTTCTTGCTGTCTTTATGTCCAGATTTCCTGTATTGAGGGTGTTGGTCCATAGATCTGTCCATATTTTCATTCTTTCTTGATATCTAATGTCGCGCTCTTTTTCTCGCAAAATTGGGTTTCGACACGTGACAACTCTTTTAATGAAGGGTGTTAAAAGAAAGAGTCGCCACCTAACAGGTTTAAGGTGCGTTAGGGCACCTATTTGCAGATAACTCTGTTTGACTAATTTGCGTCACCAAAGATCGGGTAAGGGCTCCAAATTCCTCAAAGAGAAGGTGTAAGACATTCTTCGAGGTCCACAACTGTGGTCCCCGGTCGAACTCGAATTATATGAATTAGTCTATGTGATCAAATAAATGAAGAGAGAGCACAAAAATTTTAGAAGTTTTATTATAAATAAATTTTGAATGTAGCGTACAAATATTTTTTGGTTTTAGTAGGAAAATAGAGGGGGGGGGGGGGGTTCCTAAGTTTTTTAGCCTAAAGGATCACTTTGTGCAACATAAATAATACTTCGTAACTCCATCCAGATAGGGTGTTACTCGTATTATTTAGCGAGCACTGACAATCATCTCCTGCTACCCGATTACTTTTAAGTTGTTACCTAAAGCGTACTAGTTCAATTATAACTCGTACCCTATGCGTGCACTACCCGTCCCATGCCTACGGTGCAGGAGGCTTTGGACCTCTATTTGGATAGTTCTAGACTATACTTAGGCTGCTCAACAATGATAAAACTAGGCGACATACAAAACAAGTTGGACTTCACATAAAAACAGTTAAGGGCTCAAGTTAGCCTCTACACTTAGATAATAAATGCACGCAAACAAATTAACAGTTTCAGAATTGAGATGAGTTAAAGCTATTAAGCCCTATAGACATGATTTCTATGTGACTTTGGAATTCAAACATGCAGGCAGTTTCAGATACGAGGTGTTATTCTAGAGGCATGCTTTCTGAATAACTTTATATTTCAGGGAGTCTAGTATTACGTACTTATTACAGATTATAAGTGTTTAAACCTATAGACATGATATCTAGGTGCAGTAGTTGGCGGTGATAACCATAGAAGATATTCCGAATTACTTAGTCTGCTCCTATAGGCAAGCTTTCTAAAGGTTGATAGTTTGAGCTGATTTTATACATATTTAGCTCCTATAGGCATGCTTTTCTAGATGGACAGTGTGATGCAACGGCGAATTTAAGTAATTAAAATCCTATAGGCATGATATCTATTGAGCGTGGTGCAGATTGTAAGGGGTGTTATTAGCATTCATTCCCTATAGGCATGATATCTAATAATCGGACAGAAGTAGACATAAGAGCAGGTAAAATATTTAGTTCAACGATCATGCTTTTGAATAATGTGCAGGTATTAGGCAAGTTGAGTGAAGTGTGTGATTTCCTATAGGCATGGTTTCTAAGTTGACAAAGAAGATATTATACATCCTATAGGCATGCTTTCTAGTGAATAATTGAGTAGTCATGCAAAGTGTTCACTTCGTGATGTCTATAACCACGCAACACTAGACATAGCGTCTGAATAGTAAACAAGTAGGGTATGCGTGCTTCTCCCAATATCATGATTCCTATAGGGCTCGTGTAATCGAACAACATGTATAGTAAAAACATTGTCAAGTCCTATAGGAATGTTATCTACCCATAGCATGTAGATTTAGAATTCTACCCATTCTCTTTTTACTAACACCCAAATTGTTTATACAAAGTATTATTACATACCCATATTAACAAGTAAAATAGTAACATTACATGACAATAGACAGGCCTATAGCAGGCCCAAATACACAACTAAATGCCTAGTTTGCTGGGATTTCAACATCATATCCAACAGGCTTCAATATAGCCCAGAAGTCATAGGCAATTAAACCCAAAAAACGATCTTCATTCACACACATAATAGCTAAAACCCAGTAGCCAGAGCTGATCAACAGTCCCAGAAAGATAACCATTTTCACAAGCCTATTGACTTGTCCAATAAGTGGAAAAAGGGTGCACAGTTGAGCAATTAGGAAAAGTGGCAAAGAACCTTAGACCCTTGTGCGTCAGAGTTCTCAAGGGCTTCAAGAACCCAGGGCAGTGCTCACACTAGGCAGGTTGATAGAGGAGTCATAGGGGGAAGGGCTTTGGC